GCCATGGGCACAATCAACAATTCAGCAAAGGACCGTAAGAGCGAACGGACCCTCACGCTCGATTCCAACAACACGCTGGTCGAAACCACGCCCAGAGACTGGGACCCACAGAACCTGATGATGATTCTCGACGGGTTGGAGGCCATTCGATGGGCATGGACCTTCATCCAGATCGGGGACGAAACCGACATCAACGAATTCATTGACAAATTCTGCCGCATCACCCGTCAACACCAGCAGCGCTTGCTCCAAGTCAAAGACTCCTGGGAAACCTTCACATGGCAACTGGCCATGAAGATGCGGTCGGGGGCCACCTTCAGCAAAGCTACCAAGGAACTACTGGCCGACACGACCACGATGAACGACATCCTTTCGCAACCAGCCAAGAAACAACCACGGACAGAGACCCGACGTCCACAGAACAACAGTAACCAGTATCGGCAACCCAAGGGCAGAGGCAAGCACACCTGGGGCAACAAAGGGTACCAGACCACTTCGTACCCATACAACAACCAGCCATACGCGACCTGGGGACCAACCCAATTCGCCAACCCCGCCATCCCCTCGATGCCTACAACCCCAGGACCCTCGTTCAAGGGCGACACACCCAAAGGAAAGAAGGGGTCCGGGAAAGGCAAGAAAGGCACCAAATCCCACGGGAAGAACAAGGCGCGTTAGGGACAGCACGGCCCAGGGGACCAGTCCCCTGGAGCCGACCCGGCGCGTTGCCTCCATCTTACCAGACAACTCATACAACACACGCCCATTATCCTGATCTCAGTTTTCGACGGGATCGGCACAGTGTCACTTGCCCTGCACCAACTGGGCGCCAACGTCTCCCACTGTTTCCGGTGGGAAACCGATCAGTCCTGCAATCAGCTACCTCATTCACTCTTCCCCACGACGCACATGGGCGCCGTAGAAGATTTTGACATCGAACAACTGGCTGCGATCATCCAGGACATACCCAATCACGAGAGACACATTATCCTCTTCACCGGTGGCCCACCGTGCAAGGACTACTCCAACATTAAACAACACCAACCGGGCCGGGCCGGCTCACAGGGCAGCCTCTTCGACACCGCACTCTCCATCCGCGACGACATTCAGAACAGATGGCCACATCAATCGCTCACCCTGCTAGAGAATGTCGTGCCTCACCCCGAGGTACGCGACGACTTCGACCAGCTGTCCCACTCCATGGGCCTACGCCCAGTCCTGATCGACGCGGCCGACGGCCAAATCATCTCTCGTCCCAGAATCTGGTGGGCCTCGGTCGATTGGGAATCCTTGCCTGCCACATTGAGCAGGCATACACCTTGGCAACTCTCCCTCGACACTCAGCTGTTCCCACCGGTGCTCTTCAATCCCATTGCAGCCGAACTACAACCAGACTGTCACATCCGGGACTTCGACCCGCCGAGTGTCCTAACACACGGACAACTCTTCCACTGCCTTACCACCCAGGCCAGTACGGACGAAGGCCGCCCACCACCACGCAGCCAACAACTACCAGACGACACATGGCAACGGTGGCAAGCCGACCATAAACAATTCGCCCCGTGGCAATACCAACAGAAATACCTGGTCCGGAAACACGGACACGACTGGCAAGTCGCAACACCCGAGCACCGCGAAGCAATGATGGGATTCCCGCGCGGCTGGACGGGACCACACAACACCGACCGGACCAGGAACACCATGCTGGGGAACTCCTGGCATGTGCCCACAGCCATGTGGATCCTATTCCTTTTGCTACTACAGCCAGCCTTCGGAATTCCCCCGCCCATGCAGCGGGTACGTCGCGGATCCCTCGGAATGATGGTCGACCTCTGGCTTCACAACCCACGACCATGGGGACCACCTCCGAGAGCATCGGAAACGCTACATATGCCACAGAACGACTGGCAGGACCACTTGACCTGGGCCAAACACCACGCTACCTCGCTGCAACAGCCCCAGCACTGCGACCCGACCATTTTGTGGGCCATCGCAATGCAAAGGACCATACCACAACTGCCACAACTACAGCACAACGTGTTACTCGACATCGCGGACCTTCGCGATGACTACAGATACACTTGCATGGTTCGAACAGCTGCCCCCACATTGCCAGCGAGCCTATCGACAACCGAAGATGATCACTCAGGTACCACTCATGACACACTTGCTACATTTGCTTAACTACCCACAGGCACAACTCCTGCACGAGGAACTCTCTCTAGGCTTCGACCTCCTGGGGCCTCTGCGACCCGGAGTCAATTGGCACATTCGCCACGACCACAAATACCTGGACCCATGTGACCTTGTAGAACTCAGGTCATTCAACAAAGCCTACATCCAGCGCAAATTACAACAACACAAGATCGACGACCACTGGACTCTTATGGCCACCGAAATCGCGGGGGAAGTGGCCCAGGGACGTATGGCCGGCCCCTTCGAGGCACCGACTCATTGGACCTCTCGCACAGTACCCCTGCACCTTTTCCCCCACACCAGCCGGCTCCTTCCTATCCCACATCGCGATCCCATTGTGGCAGTCGCATTCAGCATACAACAGACCGGATCGGACGGAAAACCCAAAGTCCGGAGAGGAGAAGACTGGCGCCGCAGCGGCCACAACCAGACGTGCTCTATGCACGATCAACCCTACCATCACACACCCGACCACTACATCCAATGTGCGAGACAATATCACGACGACGCACACCCGCTACATGTGTGGGGACACGACCACGACGGCGCCTACCGTCAACTGCCCCTCGCACAACCGGAGGTAGCATACGTGCTACTCATCACACCCGACGGCCCAACTCTCTGGCACCACCACGTGCTCCTGTTCGGCTCCGCTGCCAGCGTCTGGGGCTACAACCGCTTCGGCGATGCACTCACAGCACTCGCCCGCGTACTAACACTCACACCTGCCCTGCACTACGTTGACGACTACGGGGCCATACAACCCAGTCACATCGCGACCAGTTCCTTCTCCTCATTCAGCAAGCTCAACTCACTACTTGGATTTCATATGAAGACATCCAAGGAACAACCACCGGCGCCCTCTCACAAAATACAAGGGGTTTATGTCGACCTGTCGGCAACACACGCAACCCTTCGACCGTGCCCAGACCGAGTCCGTACACTGTCACACACCCTGCTTCAGTGTCTCGAACAGGGAGGTATGTCGAACGACACCGCCCGACGCACTGCCGGCAAGTGCAACTTTGTCACCGGACACCTGTTCGGTCGAGTAGGGCGATCGGCGTTAGCCGCCCTATACCACAAAGCACACAGCACTTCCGACCGGATCGACAAACCAACTCGAGCTGCCATTCTGTGCCTCCTGAATATCCTGCAACATAGCTCACCCCGCAGCGTCCCACTGTCCACCAGGCCCAGAGACCTTTCAATCATATACACCGACGCGTTCTGCCGGCAGGGCGAGACGGTCTGGCGTGTCAAGGACGCAGGGGATCAGGATTGTCTGCCACCCGATTGGTCGCACGACAACGGATGGGCAGCGGTGCTGTTCAGCCCACAGGCACAAAGGACCCGCGTGGTCTCGGGCGCACTACCCCCTAACTTACTCCAACAAGTGAGTACTGGCACCAACGCCATTTATTTCCTCGAGGCATGGGCCGCGTTGATCGCTCCTGTGATCTTTCGACCATGGATCACTGACACATACCTCCAGTTGTGCGACAACGAAGCGGCCAAACACGCCATCAGACGGGGAGTTGGGAAACACCAACCACTAAACTGCCTGCTCGGTGCACATTGGACATGGCACAACCGACAGCAATTGCAGTTGCATATTGCCCGTGTGCCCACACATGCTAATATAGCCGACCCCTTCAGTCGACATGACATGTCCCTTGCCTCGAAGCACCACTGGCAGATTCTGGAACCCCCCATGCACGCTCTACATAAACGGACGTGCAAAATCATTGGCGATATCGAGTTCGCCCATGCCGTCGGATTTGACGACATAAAGGAACTCCAACAGTTCCACAGGAATCATTCCTCCTGAACCCGACTTGACTTCCACGTCCCGTGAGAATCTTGTCCACAGTAAGGAGACTTGATCGATGTAAGGATGCCTTCAACGTGCCTTTTGTCTAGGTCGTTCGCCTTCGGCTTCACCTTCGACGGGAGTTGACCTACGACGGGAGAACGTCCACTCCCTCTTCGAAACTCTGCTGTACAACATTTTGGGTTTGCATGCACTTGCATTTGCTTACCTTTTATTTTGTTGTACTTTACTTTCGAGTCAGTGGTGTCTGAGAGACACGCACACCGACTCCAGAGATTGAAACAGATCGACCAACAGGTACGATCCCACCCACTTGAGGCAGTGCGGTGAAAATAAATCGACCGACGCTGGTTGCCGTCGTACTCTCTGGAGCGGTTTGTTGTTGCGGTTAACACTTGTGTTAAAAGTAACAACCGATAGCGGAAGGCATTTGAATCACACTCAGATTCGAACCTTGAGTGCCTGCAGGATGACACTGCTTGATTCATGCTCCGTTCGCCATTTTGGCGAATTAGCCAAATTTTTCTTTCCCACCCACCCTCACCAGTTTTCACTGCATGCCCTCAGTACCTGTCGGTCTGCATTTATAGCATCGAGTGAGAGGACGGGAGAACGTCCACTCCCTCTTCGAAACTCTGCTGTACAACATTTTGGGTTTGCATGCACTTGCATTTGCTTACCTTTTATTTTGTTGTACTTTACTTTCGAGTCAGTGGTGTCTGAGAGACACGCACACCGACTCCAGAGATTGAAACAGATCGACCAACAGGTACGATCCCACCCACTTGAGGCAGTGCGGTGAAAATAAATCGACCGACGCTGGTTGCCGTCGTACTCTCTGGAGCGGTTTGTTGTTTGGGCACCACCACCCAAATGGCAATTTGATACGTTCAGGGTGATGTGGGGGGAACATGGAGCCAACCCTGTTTGCCGCCCTCGGCCGCCTGCCCTCTCGGCCGATGCGAGTGAGGATGAGAAAAGCAAGGCTTTGGTGCAATCTGCAGCTTGGCGATCGATGGGATCTTTTTTTTTTTGGTCTTCCGATTGTTGAGATTAGTTGCACGTCAGACCTCTGTGTCAACGACCAGAGCAGTGGGCCAGAGGAAAGCAGGCGCGGCCTTCGCCTAGGGAAACCAAAGGAGGTTGTTTGAACCACGACCGTGTTTAAGTTTGAATGGGCAGTGCATTCCGTGACAAGGCCAGGGACGGTTGGACAACAAACAACATCAAGCCGTGAAACATCGCCCCTCGCATTGTTTTGGTCTCTGTCAGAATGAGACGACCCCACAAAAGGTTGACTCGGTTTGCTTTTTGTGGTTCTAGACCAAACAAAGAACAAGAGGTCAATATTACTGAGATTGGCAACATATTCCGAGCGAAGGAATATTTTCCTTCCGAGCTGCGAGAATAGGGGTGTCTCGAAAAACCCAACCGATTCACGTCTCGTTTCGCTATAGAAACTCGGGACATCGTTGGAACGTGCGCGGTGTCGACTGAGGAGCTGCTGCACTTGTGTTGGCCAAAGCCGGAGCTGAAGGTGTCAGAGCTGAACGAGGGCACGCCCCAACTGGAGTATCGCCTGGAAACCTTGCGCCTCCGGAAAAATCAGTGGGAAGTTTCTTCTGAAACCTGTGGCACGTCTTTTTTTGGGAGTAGAAAGCCCCCCAAACAAATGTTGTTCTTTTTCTTTTTGGTTTCCCCCCTAAACCCTGAACCCAAAAAGAGTACCGAGCCTCACAAAAAGACAACCCCCCAAAAGGTAGACCCCCTTTTTGGTTGGAAGGGAAACAGCCCATTTCTAGGGGCCTCAATCTGAGGAACCTCCATTTGGGGCTTAGTTCACCGTGTCATTGCCCTTGGCTGACCTTTTGGCCCAGGCCCTTTTCGGCCTCCCTCAAATTTCTCGGATGCCCGGCAACAAGCGATCACTTTTTGTAGGCGGATCTGTCCCGAGTTTTTGGGCGGTCCAAGCACTTTCGGGACATGGCAAACTTTCACCATCGGGTGAGGGTGTCACAATTTTCTGCCCAGCCGGTGGGAAGAGGCCTTACAGCAAATACTCGGTATAATTTGCTTTTGCGCAAAGGCTGTTTTTTCTTGGGGCAATGAGGAACAAAGAGTGCAAATACCATCGCAGGACCTTTGATACTGTAAGTTTAGCCATAAGACGTCATAGGATCAACTTGAAGGAGAGCACATCAATGTGCTATGTTCCTTGGCCCAGGCATGGTTCTAGTCGCATTTTCATGTCACCTTCCTCTTTCTGTACCTGTTCAGCCAGGACTCAAAACGATTGGTGTGCTGTTGAGGCGAGTGGGGTTGAACATGCATGGCCCTGGTTTCAGTTTGACTCCATGAACTTCACCGGTGTTGTGTCAAAAGAAAAAAATAGAACAGCTAGGCAACATTTTGGTAGAATACACACAGTACCGCGCACGCAGGTACGGACGCACGCACCCACCCAGGCACCACCCACGCACTCACCCACCCACCCACCCACCCACCCACCCGCCCGCCCGCCCACCCGCCCGCCCGCCGGCCGCCAGCCTGCTCGCGCCCGCCCGCCCACCCACACCCCCACCCACACACCCACACACCCACACACTCACATCTTTCTTTACTACTCCATTCAGCAGATGTTCGGTTCCCCTTTTGCTGCATTCACGCCCAAGACGCACCTGGCAGTGAGCTGAGGCTGGGGACTGAGGACGACGAGTCCGACTGGCAGGCCAACCGGGCGCTGATCATCTCGGAGCCCGATTCCAGCATCGTGACTGCCCCTCGCCTGTGCCTGGTTGGACCCGGTTGCCAACAAACTGGTGCAAATCAATAGTAATTTGGAGAGTTTGAACCACCAAACCATGGTGAATTACGGTCAATTGGGCAACCGGTGGATGCCCTAAATTTTGCAAGGGACACCAATTCAGTTTTTTACCGTGATTTATGACGGTTTGGTGGCTGTGTGTGGATGGTTTACTTGTGATTTGAGGGCATCCACCTTATCACCCCCTTCCCCAAAAACACCATGCCACGGGTGAGGACATTCGGCGCTATTTGGCCTTAATACAGCTTATTCACCCCAACCTTGTTGGGGGGTCCTTGATGGTTCGTGGGGGGGGGTCATGTGCCGGAGGTTTGTTGCTGGTGCCGGTTGTGTGAATTTTGGCGGGGTATCCACTGGTTAGTCATTGCTTGATGTTCAGTTGTCCTGTTTGGCAAGGGGCACATGTTTGCTGATCTGCAAACATGCCCTTTGGACAGGCTCAAGATCCAGCAGAGTCTCTCCTTCTCTCACCCTTTTCACATCCTCCCCCAAAAATCGGGTGCCCCAAACTCCAAATGCCAAGCTCACCATGTATCCAAGGCCTTGCGGGATTTCTCTTGTAAATCTTGCCGGTGTGCCTTTCTGATCGAGTGATGCAGTTGGCCATTTTGGATCGGCGCTGCGAATCTGGGGCAACCCGAGAGGACATGTTTGCATCGACTGACGCGGACAGCTGGCCCTTGGGTGGTAGCAAAGGGCTCATTGCTTTCCCTTTCGAGTGCCTTCCCTTCCGAAGCAGAACGGCCACTTGCAGTGACTGAGCCCGGGCGCCCCTTCCAGGGCTGGGAGCCAAGCATCTCAAGGTTTGTGAGCCACTTCTCAGCCTATGAGAGGGGAAGTAAACGGGAGTGCATGATTGAAGCCTGAAAGATGGTAAGGGAACACGGCTTTCCGGGAACTTAAGCACCAGCTCGTGGGAATGCACACGCCCTCCGTTGAGCCAAGTGGACAGATCCGGGCTTGTCCGCGCGAGATGTCACTGCAGGCACTGGTGCCCTTGCCAGAAGAGGACCGTAGCAATGTACGGTGGATGCCCAATTTCGGTGTGGCGTTTTTGGAGGGCCCCCGCTTTTGGTTGGGGTGAAAGGAGAACCAATAGCAAATCACTCATGTTTTGGGGTCCCCAAAATTTTGAGACAAACCTGCGTATGCATTGCAAGTAAGGCAACAAGGAAACCGATTCTCCAAGTTACCGTGATTTGCCATTATTTTTGTGTACGCATGGTTGGTTTGCTGGCAATATGTCAGGGGCATTGAGGGGGTTGCAGTGGGCAGGGCGCTTTTGTTCGCATGTTGCACACCTCCCTGGCGGACATCAAATTTGATTCGTGATTTCTCAGTCGAGGTACAACTAGCTCCAAGCATTGCGTAGGTTGATTGGTTCTTTTTTTTGCCAGCTTGCCTCAGTTGCAAGCTGCTGGCTCTTTTGGCTGCTCTTCTGGCAGCCTTTGCACGTGTGCACTCGCGACCTCGACTCCAGTACCATTTGCATGCTGATTAGTTTGGCATGGTCGCTAACGCACTCAAGTGACTCGGTCAAGGTATTTTTTGAGCAGGGCAGCACAACCAACGCCGTAAACCATAAATCGAACAGCCGTTTTGGGTTTTGCTGATCACCTGGGCTCTAAGCCCAAGCTGCCAGAGTCGTTCTGACATCTCGTTCACCTGGAAGCCATAGATCGTACAACATGAAGGGTTCTCTGGACAAATGCAGTTGGGCAAGAGTCCATGAATGGCTGATAGACTGCCTACCAGCTGGTGCCTGGCACAACTCGCCAAGACCCGCCGAAGGGGGGGACGGGGCGATGGACGGATCGCAGGAGGATGAGGAGGACCTTGACGTTTCCTTGACGGAGGAGGAGACTCGAATTTCCTTGGCCCGGCTTCTTGGCTTCAATTGTGGGGTGTCGGAACCCGTGGGAATGGCTCATTTTGTTTTGGTTTCCCCAAAGCACAACCCCAGAAAAGTGCCACATGGTGGATATTCCTTTGATTTCCGAAGAGGACCACCTCAAAAAGGTGCGAACTCCAAAACACCTTGCTGTGTTTTGCCAGGAATCCCTGGCACCTGGAAGGAGCATGTTGAAACCGCAAGCTTCCTTTGATTTCCACAGCTCGTTGTTCAGGCACGAAGCGTGCCGCATTTTGTTCACAACGCCTGCGATTACTGGCTTCACTTCGTCCTCTGGAGAGACAAAGTCGCCTGCCCCCGCACCCCTTTTAAGAAGGCTTCCAAGAACCTTTCCGGCGTGGGGGTCGGGTTTCCACCCTAAGCTGTGAATAGGGCCGCTGACAAGCCGCAGGGCTTGCTGTATGGTTTGTCCAGATGAGAGTCTAGCACGAGGCTACCAGGGACTAAAGGAGAGAGAGAGAGAGAGAGAGCTTCCCTTTGGTTTCCCTTGAAGCCAACCCCAAAAAAGATGAGCCTCAAAGAGCCACAGGGGGGCCCTGGGCATCTGCCTGCAGGAAGCTGCAGCCAGTGGAGGCGCGCTTCCGGCTCTGCGCGGAGCGCAGCTCGGTGCCTTTATTCTGGCCGACGGGCTTTGGCTTCCCTTTTAAAGCCACGAAATAGGGCTAGCCACAAGAAAGACACACCCCGAATTGGGTCCCCGAAGCAAAGAGTTTTGACGACCCTCAACATGTCGACTTTGGTCTTGCTACACGAAATTGGGTTACAGGGTTTGCTGGGTTGTTGACAACAATTGCTGGGCTGCATGCAAAGTTAGAAGAAAGATGACACTACTGGAAAGACAGAAAGACAGGTGGGAAGTGGGCAGATTTGCAATGATGTTTGCCATGACTCCTTGAGGATGCATTCTCCATGTTCTCCTTGTGAAGCCAACGACCTTTTTCACCAGATCAACATGCCTCTTGTTGGACCCTGATGTGGGTGGCCGGTAGAGCGAAATCTGATTCTGTCGCCATCCTTTGTGGGGAGTGGGAGGCAAAGTCAGTGCTGCGTATCGAACTTTGGGAATCTCGCCACTTCAATGGGGGTGTGTTTTTTTTCGGGGGTGTCCTGTTTGCCTTGCTCAATGGGAAAGCACAAATTCCCGACCTTTGTGGCGGTATTGCCCAAGAGAAAGCAACCCTTTGAAGAGTTCCGACTGATTTTGGCACATTTGTGTGAAGACAACGTGATTTGAACCTGCAAAATGGTGGTGTTCCTTCTGCCTTTGAACCAACCTCCAAAACGGCCCCTCAAAAGTGACACACTCATATGGGTGTTTCTTAAAACAGTGGTCCCTTAAGATGCTTGGTACCCTTCTGGTTTCCGTTGCACCACCAACCAAAAGGACTGTCTCCAGAAGCTGCTTGAGGCTTGTCCCAAGGTCCCTCCAGTGACATTTGCCGCTTTGACCCGGTGCACTCTGCGCCCTCCGCCACCTTCTGCTGGGATGCGCCGGAGATGCCCGAGCAGGTGAACGTTGTTGGCCCGAACCTAAGACGGCGGAAGGGGGCGCGCTTCTGGTCTTCCCTTCGGGCGCAAGTGAAGCAACCGATTAAATCTAGTTAGAACCACCTCATGACAGTTCATTAGCACTTTCACGTAAGAATGACGTATAGGTTGAGAATCGCGCAGGTTATGTAGGGGTTTAAACCGATTTTTTTGCAAGCACCATGGCAAACATGTGGGTCATGCACGATGTTGTGTGCGTTTCTGTTTGTGTTATGTATAGAATCGCATAATTATCTACGTATCTATTAGTATGCATAGTATTTGCATTTGGGACGACTAATGCGCCCTTGCTGTTGCTTGCAATATGTCGGGCTTCAACGTGATGGCTCAAGAACATGCCGGCAGATTGGTGGCATGGCGTGAGAGCATCGGGCGAGTTGCATCCGTTAATATAATTCAGAGCCAACTCGCAGGGGGAGCAATTGCAACCTAAGTTAAGACCAAGGGCCATAATGCCATAAGCCCCCCAAGGCTTCCTTATGGCAAAACATGTCAGAGTCAGGTGCTGCGGGAAACATGCTCTGCGTGGTGTTCCATTGGACCTCGCTGGCAAGATGTTGCCGAGGCGTGGCTTGGGGTGTTGCACACATTTTGCGCCAATCCACTTGGCTAATCAATCAAGAATCAAGACCTTCAAGCAACCTTGGCCCACAGACATCCCCATGTAAATCTTGTCCATCAAAGGGTTCCCAATCAGGATTTAGCCCCGTTTTCCCTCAAAAGCTCAGACCTGGCGCGCGGGGTTTCCTCTAGTTTCTTTTCTTTTGGAGGTTTCCCTTCAAAGGCAATCAACCAACCAACCCACCCACCTACCTACCTACCTACCTACCTACCCTACACACACCCAAACCAACCAAAGCCAACCAACCCACCCCCAACCAACCAAACCTGTCGAGCCGACACCGCCAGGCCTGCTGTGGGCGTGCCTAGAGCTCCGCTTCGGCGACAACGAGGCGCCCGAGGAGGAGCGGCCCGAGGCCGAGGCCGAGGCCGGCCGAGTTCGATCGTGGCATGTTGAGATGCCAAAGATGTCGTTCCCTCGCCCTGCCGCAACGAATGATCCCGACTGATTGTCGTGCTGAGGCGATGGAGGACGGAGCAGCAATGCTGAGAAGTTTTTAGCCGCGCCCACCTGGTACAGCTATCAGATGAACATCGCTATTACATGCATCTGCGTGTCAGGGTGTCAGTTGTGCCAGTTGCCTTGCCCACTGTTCTGCCGCTGACGGCACCTGCCACGGCAGCCTTCTCTGCCACAATCATGATCAAGATAGTTTTGAAAGTCGCGACGACTGCGCGGTGTCTTATATGCTTCATGTACGGCTGTGAATATTCTTCAAGTTTTTTCCACGCTCTTTGATCCCCGAAGGGAAACACACACACACACACACACACACACACACACACACACACACACACACACACACACACACACACACACACACACACACACACACACACACACACACACACACACACACACACACACACACACACACACACACACACACACACACACACACACACACACACACACACACACACACACACACACACACACACACACACACACACACACACACACACACACACACACACACACACACACACACACACACACACACACACACACACACACACACACACACACACACACACACACACACACACACACACACACACACACACACACCACACACACACACACACACACACACACACACACACACACACACACACACACACACACACACACACACACACACACACACACACACACACACACACACACACACACACACACACACACACACACACACACACACACACACACACACACACACACACACACACACACACACACACACACACACACACACACACACACACACACACACACACACACACACACACACACACACACACACACACACACACACACACACACACACACACACACACACACACACACACACACACACACACACACACACACACACACACACACACACACACACACACACACACACACACACACACACACACACACACACACACACACACACACACACACACACACACACACACACACACACACACACACACACACACACACACACACACACACACACACACACACACACACACACACACACACACACACACACACACACACACACAACACACACACACACACAACACACACACACACACACACACACACACACACACACACACACACACACACACACACACACACACACACACACACACACACACACACACACACACACAACACACACAACACACACACACACACACACACACACACACACACACACACACACACACACACACACACACACACACACACACACACACACACACACACACACACACACACACACACACACACACACACACACACACACACACACACACACACACACACACACACACACACACACACACACACACACACACACACACACACACACACACACACACACACACACACACACACACACACACACACACACACACACACCACACACACACACACCGTTTCATCGACATGAGATGCCTAGGCTTCGTGTTTTTTTAAGCACTGCCTTTTCCGATTGCCACTGGAGGTCTGGATCAGAATGCCCTCTTTGCCCAAAGTAGCCCCTTACAAACGTGTGCTTGTTCCAATTTCCTGATGTCAACGGTTTGAGGCTTAGTCGGGTCTTGGTGGGCTCACGGCTTCAAACCTGGGGGTTCTTCCGACAGGTTTTCAGGATTTTGGATTGAGGAAGTGAAAAGCAGAACCTGATCAGTTTTTGGCGTACCTTGGGCTTGGGCCAAGAAATGGTGAACCTGTTCAAGGGGTTTGTGCCATAGCCAGGTGCGGGGAGCCTTATCAACTGGAAAAGACCCTGGCCATACCCGTTGGGTTGAGTGGTTTGCACCTAACCACAGGCATTTGGCTGACAAGCACGGTGCAGACCCGTCTTGGGATACTTTTCTTTTGGAAAGGGGGGGAGCCTCATGTGGGGGGAAGGTCCCATCCATGTCGCCGTGGAACGTGAGGAAGGGACTTTTAAACGCCATTTGCCTCTCGCACCTTCAACGCTCGCGGAAGGGCAAGTGAGTTTGTAGGGTCTTCTCGTTGGGGATGGTTTAAAGGGCAAGTTAACGGCAACCACCCATTGTTGTTTTGTGTTCCCAAACTTTCGGGTGGGAGACATGCCTTTGTCGAGCAAAATCTTTGGGCAAGATTGTGAGGGGATTTTTTCGGTGACGAGGCTGGGAGGTTGGCTCCGGCAGGCGGAGTTGGAGATGTCCGACGTGGCTTCGGAGACGCAGTCGGAGATCATAGGCACTCCTGGGAGCCCCGAGAAATGGACACACATATGTATGTGTATATATAATATGTATGTGTAATATGTATAGAATATGTATATACTGAGGTTCACTACGTAAGGGCCAGACTGGCACATCTGATTTTGGGCAGAAGGTGAGGTGGACTCGGGAAAGGGATCTCCCTGATGGGTTCTAAGCAATGCCTTCGAAAATGCTGCCCACATGATGGTCCTTTGGTGCAAGCAAATTGGAACCTGTGTAGTGGAACCCGGGAAACGGCCCCCCCTCAATTTTCAGGTTGGGGATTTTGAGGTAAGAGTGTGCTCCCCTTCAAGACATGGAGTGCAAGACGCTCTTGGAAAAGCATAGCGAAGCCCTGGTGATCAACTTACGGCACACCAAAGCAACCAGGGTTTGGGCACTGCGCCAAATCAGAATGTGTCACATGTTCAATGCAACAAGCCAACCCCCCAACTTTGAGGGGAATGGCCTTTGATTTGAGTTCCTGCGAGTTCGCTGCATGTTTCCGTTTTCTCTAGGCCTCATGTTGGCGAGTCTCGTTGGTCCTTCCAGTTGATACCTGCCTCTGTTTGGGACTTGCTTGTGACCCAATAGGGCATTTGGGTCCTGTGGTTTTTTTGCACTCAACAGAGGACTGGATGGACCTACAAAGAGCACTTGAGCTTGTAGGGCAAGCTGGAAGGATCCAAGGGTCAACCATATCGGTCTCCGTTCCACCAAGCGAATAGCCGTTGACGTCTCTCCCTTGCTCTCTCTCACTCTCTCTCTCTCTCTCTCTCTCTCTCTCTCTCTTTCTCGCTCCCTCTCTTCATTCCTCGGGCTTCTGGCGTTTTCGGCGGAAACCAGTTTTATTACTATTTTTATTACTACTATTATTTCCGGAGTTGGCAGGCGGGCTGCCGGTCTTCTGGCAGCCGGCCTCGGAGTTGCGGCAGCTGAGCGGCGCGAAGGCGTCGGGGGCAAGGTGACCTGGATGTTCAGCCCAAGAATCTTGGGGTATCAGTCTACTCTAGGGTTGGAGCCCTGGGATGTTCAAGCCACCAAAAAGAGGGTCCGAAAAGGAGATTCCAAGAATGTTTTTGAGGTTCTATGTGAAGTAGGTCAAAGCTATACGTAACTTTGACCTCAGTCAATTCATGTATAACTGTTGTTACATCCTAAGTGGATTCAACATCAAAGTATGGGGTTGGAATCGCGCCTCAAGGTTCCCATCAGACAAGTGGGTTGCAGCCGGGGTTTATTGGGCCCCTTGCAGTTGAAGGGTTTATCTTCTTCAGCAGCATTTAAAGGATGGCACCAACCCCTAACCAGGTTACAATCACCAGGGTTATCAACTACTTAGGTAGTGCTCACAAATCCTCGTTACACAAGCATGTTCGGGAAATGTAAAATAGACGTGGGAGCAACCCTGCCATCGCGACACTAAGGCTTCGAGCGGGAAACACCTTTTTTTCTGGTCAGACAAGTTTGGGCGCGAGCCAAATGTGCCGCATCACAGGTGCTTGAAGGTCGCTGTGCGAAGGGTTTACCTTGTGAACCAGGCAAGCTCAAATGGGTTCCGACAACAGTGGGTTTCCCGTTTTGAAACAACATTCCGCAAAGGCGGCCGCAACAAAAGCACTTCGAAGAAGCTTTCAACTTGCTGCAGAAACCTCACCATTTCTATTTCTCTCCAGAGCCCGCCAAACAGGGGGTAAACTCCATTGTCGATACACTTCCGCGTGGCGCCTCCAAATTTATTGCGGGCTGTTTCAGTCAGAAGTTACTCTCCCTCACCATGGATTTGTTTCACAGGGGTGGAACAGCGGGAGCAAGAAAACCAATTGGTGCAATCATCCTTCAGAACCATCCTAAGCATCAGAACCATCACAGATGTCTCGCTTCATAAGAATCTTGATTCCAAACAGCTCAATCGCCCCCTCCTGTTTGAGCTCCAGCCCCTAAGGGACAGTAGGCAGTGCCTTCTTTTCGCGTGTGGTTGGCTGAACCGGGATCAGGGCGTCCACGGGTCCGATCCCCTGCGAGGTCGGTGCCGCGACGCCCAGTCAGCTCCTTGCCCAGGCGCTTTTTTCGCTCGGATCTTGGTGTCCGATGTGTCCGATGTGTCCGATGTGTCTGATGTGTGCGTGTGTGTGTGTGTGTGTGTGTGTGTGTGTGTGTGTGTGTGTGTGTGTGTGTGTGTGTGTGTGTGTGTTTTTTCCCGGGACCCAAGTGGTGACTCTGGTTGAGTCTCGTGGCCGGTGCTTGACCGAAACCGGTCCCAAAACGGTCCCCCTGGCTTTCGCAACCGTTGCAAATCTGCAAGCCGTGGGGATCGGACAATCCCGCCCCATGCGAAGCATAGGTTGGTCAAGCAGAAATTGGGACCTGAAGTTCGGATGGCTTCCTCTTAGCTTCCCTTTAAACCCTCAACAAAACCAAAAAAAAACATACACCAGCTGAAAGAAGCGGGCTTCGACAGGCCTGCTCCGACCGGCCAGCTGAGACAACGTGCTTCCTGGCTGAAAACCGAAGAGCCCAGTACTACGAAACTGTCTGCTTTTTGGCGACGGCTCACCTTGACGGCAAGGGTTGCTGGCATTCGGGATGTGCCAAAAATGGCACAAGGAGGATTTTTCTTGAGATCGGTGTTTTTTGGGGGTCCATATTAATCTGGGAACCTCGAGGAAACAAGAGCAGCACTGCCGATCTTTATTGATTCTGCGCATCCCAGGTGTTGGCATGATTCCGCTGCCCAGCCACTCTCAGATGAGCTCGCTTCGAGTGCGGCTCCAGCTTTCAGTCAGGCTGGGGTCGATGGGGAAATGTGCCGGAGGGTAAACTAGGGGGAACAGCCCATTTTGGGGTCCCCTATTTTGAGAGAAAGCGCGCGTTTGGGTGTGTTCAATGAAAGGCTGCCTTGTAGCGCCCTGGTTGCTGACGTCTCCAATCTTCGAGTGTCGTGAAGCCCCGGGATCAATGGCCATGCCAGGTATTACCACATTGACACATGGCAACACCTGGAACCCAAGGTCCAACGGTCCAAACCGCACATCCAAGCAGAAAACGCTTGCTCCAGCGTTTGTCTTGCAAGGCGAAATGTGGAGAGTGGGCCAGCTTCTGCGAAAAAGGCCTTCCCTCAGCCGGTCATTGCTAGAGATGCTAGAGATGCCTGGCAGAGTTGGCTTGAATTACTAGGGTCAGTATCATGTGCACATCGCAGGACATCGCAAAAGGAGAATTATCGAATGAGCTTGAGCTAACTCAAAAAGGATTCCCCAGCCTTTGCACCACTGCTACTGCTACGTCCATGTTCTACGCGTTTGTGCTGCTGATTCTACTGGCTTGCTTCTCAGTCGGGAACATGAAAAAGAATCTTTTGAACCTTTCCCCACAAGACCCTCCAATCCACAGAACCTTCAAACCTAATAAACTGAAGGATTGATGGATTTAAGGATTTGAGGGCTTAGTATTCGAGGGCTTTCGGCAAGCTCATTCTGACCCCCCCCCCCCCGGGCAAAAAAACAACAGCAACGCAACAAGAACGGCGGGTATTTGGAGTAGGGGTCAGCGGCTACCCGAAGGGCGAGGCAGGGTTTGCCTCTCACATCTTCAATGGGCGCATGGCGCAATATGGCTACGATTTTTTGTATAGGGAACCACCTCAAGCGGCTGGTTAATATTTTTATCCCCACCTAAATGATGTCTACCAAAGGCTCCCCCAATAAAAAATTCACTCCCATCTCTCCTGTATAAGCCTTGGGTTCAAAGTGGCAGGGACACACCCGCATGTCGGCACTCTCTGGTTGGCACCTAGCGATTGGGTTTGACCAAAAGTTGGCCATTCACTGTCCTCTTGCCCTTGTTCCGCCCCAGACGTTGCCCCAAAAAAGAGGCATGGCGCTCGAGGCATTCGGTGGGTCAGAGCGCCTGGAGCCAGCCCTTCGCTTGGGAAACGGAGGAGAAGGCGCCTGAGGAGGTGCCTGCGGTGCGCTGCTTGGAATGGCTTGATGGCTTCGGGTGGAACCGATTTGTGCCTGGACCCTTAAAGAATGGGCTAGCACCACGTAATTTGTGGGTACCCTCCAAAAAAAGGGCACACCTCCGGTCCAGATGTGCCCTTTTTCGATAGGTTTGCCGTTCATATCAAGTACCAACAAAGCTGCGCGTTTGGCCCTACTTGTCCTATGGACACTGTCTGGCCCAGTGGGAAGCGAAGGCCATCATTGAATCATACTTGGCCTATCCGCAAGCACCGGGTGGGAGCCTATCCCAAACACTATGTAACATTCACCCTGCGTGAAATTAAATGTTGGTATGCATTACCTACATGGATTGTGCGGGTATGGCCACCGGGACAAGTTATTCACAGCCCGACTCAACGGGCGGACCTGAGGAATGGTTCACCTGCAGTACCCGGACTGGTGCTGCGTGCTGCCGGGCCCCGACGAGCCCCTGCAGGAGTGGGTTGAATTGAGTTGGTTGATGTGTCTTCCATTTGCTTAAGATATGTTTCCCACTGTGAAGTTCTACAGGGAATCTATCACTACTGGAAATATGTAATCGGCAACTCAGAGGGGTGCGGGTTCAAACAAAGCGGGACTATTCGGACACCATGTCTCTTCGCCGCGATGCTCCATAGTTTGGTTGAGTGTGCTTGGTTTACTCGCCTGGCATCCACCGCACCATGGGTTCAGGTAGGTGCATTACTCGCCTGGCATCCACCGCACCATGGGTTCAGGTCAGCTTGCTACCCCAGAAGGTACTTGGACCCTTAGGGCAGATGGGACTGGTTTCAATATGCCTCTAATCTTTTACCAATCTCTTTGTCCATGAGGACGCATAGGAAATCATACCATGTGCACCGTGAAGGGGAGCCAAAAGGTTGTTTAAACCATGGTAGTGTTTTGTTGTCAGGTATCTTTTTGACTTGGCTTAAAGGCGAAAAAAAGAAGGCCAACGTTTTTGGTGGGCCCTATTTAAGCAAATACCCACGTGTGTCTTGAAATTGGACCCCAACAACGGCAGCGGCTTCCGTTTGATTTCCCTAAACAATCAAGGGGTTCCAACCAAACACAACACACTTTTTCAGGGTCCTTTGGTACCTAAGTAGGTTTTGTCACCCCCTTGCTAACACCCCCAAAACCATCCTCAGAGGGTACCCTAGGGCCATGCTTAAAGAACTTGTTTCTTCTTCTTTTTTTTTGTCAACTGCAGGAGTTTGCTCCAAGGGTAGCGCCTTGGCTCCAGTTGGAATCTTTCGGTAGGCCACGCCTTTGGCTAAATGCGCGGACGTGCCGGGTTTTCGGTCGCTGGAAAGCAAAGAGGGCCGCGCATTTCCAGAGGGGGGGTCACGGAAAAAGGTCTTGTTGGCTCCCATGTTCAAAGACTAAGTTTGCAGCGCAGCCTTGATTTTGCAGGTGCCGGAAAGATCTTCCAACAGCAAATTATGTTCTCACAGGCCCGGCCCGCAGGCGGGTTGTTCTTTTTTGGCCTCGGAGAAATGCCTGGTGATTCCGGTTTCATCCTGGAGCCCCAAGGATCCCTCGGTACCTGGTAATGACCTACTTTGACCCCTCTTAGCCCCTCAACGTGTGCCAAGGGACCCTCCGTGGTCCAAACTTGTCCACAGTTCTTCAGCCTGGGCCACCGGAGTGAGCGATGCGCCGCTCCTCGGCTGAGGTGCTCAAGGAGACGACGCAGATTGGGTCCAGGGAGATAGTCATCACCGAGGCGCGAAGACCCCCAACCGAAGGGGCATGAACAAGGCGTATGTACTGCCAGGAGATTTCCACGGGCCTGTCTTTCAACTCATCATAGAGGTTCTCTGTTTTGAAATGGTGATCCTGCTGGTTACCTACTGCAGCAGAAGGGTCCAAGTACCTTCTAAGGAGCTACTTTACCCCCTTTTAGCACCTGGACGCACCGGTGGCAGTGGAACTTTCCAATGCCTTTTTTTGTCGTCTGGGTCTTCCCCGTGCAGGTGAAAGAAGAAGCTCGGCCGAGGCTGCGCTACGAGGTGGTGCAAGGAGTGCCGTTTTTCCATGGCGAGCGAGGGTGCAAGAACCTCTTGAGGATGGCTTGGGGGGAGGTACTTGCCCTCCTGGGATGGATATCTGCCACTTTTAGGAGATCTCTCTTGGAATATTTGTATGACGGAGATGCAGGCTGGGGCTGCTGGAGGCAGGCTGGGGATGCTGGAGATGCTGGCTGGTGATCCCAGGGATGCTGGCTGATAAGGAGTTCGCATGCCTGTGCGTCTTGCAGCCCCCCCGCTTTTCAGCTTCTCCGTGCTCCCTTGCAGATGGATTTGGGCGTTCTCAACAAACATCCCTAAAATTGGTTGGCTTCCTGTTGGCGTCCCCAACGCCAACCATAAAGGGGTCTCTTATTATTGAGCAAGCCTGCGTCTTTTTGATGAAGGGTGTGACGTCTGAAGATGGTTGACCAAACCACAGGAATGGAATCCCACATATGAGTTGATTCCAACCATGATGCTCTGGATTTGTGTGAAGCTGCTATGGTTCATGATTTGCCTGCGAGAGAACATGGTTCCCACAAAATGCAGAGGCACAACTTTAAACTTCCAAGTTTCTCGTGTTCTTGTGGTGACAACATGTCGGGGGTCATACACTAGCCTTCCGACCTTTACGTGCTTTACTGCAAATCAATGTGGCTGCCTTCCTCCAAGGATGGACGCAGCTCTATACCGTGGGGAATTTAGCTTGGCAGTGGCATTTACCAACCTTTCCAGGATGAGTTTTGTGTGTGTTGTTTCAAGAATCGGCTGTTCTACTAGCTTCAGGTGAGTTCCTCCGTTCGGCACTGTCCATGGATAGTTCCGTTTCCGGTTGAGGCAACCTGCCAGAGCGGGTATTCCGGTGAGTGTGTTTGTTTGCCTTTTTCAGACTGTTACAGGAAAACCAACAGAGAACCACCCCTGTTTCGTTCCCCCTTGTTTGACATACGCATGAATCCAACTTATCCAACTGTTATTCAAGGGCGAATGTCGTGTAGCCGTTTTGGGGGGAAGGGGGTTCCAACGTACCGGGCATAAAGCAGCTTCGCAAGGAGAGCTTCCGCCGTGTTTGTCGCTGGACAGCTCCAACGGCGTGATCACCTGGAAGGATTCGGCCACCTGGGCTCAATTCAATGGCCGGCACAAGTGGCTGGCGCATATTCTTTTTCGTTTCAAGCATCATCTTTGGAATCCCTGCGGGATGTTCAACGCACGCAAAATAGGCCATATGTAATGCCCCCATGATACACATCAACCCTGGGACACTGCCAAAACACTCGAAAACCACAGCGTTGAGCAATTTTACGTAGTTTGAAGCAGATGAAGAGCAGAACAGTTTTCTTTCAGGAATTTAGTTCATTTTGCAGATGTGTTGATCTTGGCCAGGACATGATGATAGCAGAGGATTTGGTCTGCGGAAGATGTTATTTGCATGAGCTTGAGTCTATAGGTGGATAAGGACAGACGTTTGCAGATGATTGGGTGTTGGGAGGTACTGGGAGTGCGAGACAACTGCCAGTTTTGAACGTTGTTTTTTTGGTACTCTTTCAGCATTTTGGGCTTTCAGAGCTCTAAAGTGCTGAGAGGGTACACAAGAACGCCAAACACCAATGCCCAAATTTTAGAAGACGAATTGGGGTGACGCAAGCTGACATGCTTTTTGGCGCTTGATTTTTTGGCAGGCAAGCCAGCGTTTCCTTTGTCGTTAGCCTTGGCAATGCTTTCCCCAAACTGGCCACATCACAGGTTGGGGTGTGATATAAGAAGTCTAATTCACAAGCTGAGTTTGCAAACAACCGAAGGGACGTGTTGAAAGCGCCCCTAATAAGGACTGGCAGAAGTTTAGTGCCAGCGTGCTCAGTGGAGTCCTCGGAGGCCTTGCAGCGATCCATGGAGCAATTGGTCGTATGCTTTTGGCTTGAAGGGTGCTGTTTGACGGTCAAATTGATGTTTTCCAATCTCTGAACAGTGACAACACAATTCCTAGATTTTTGAGAGAGGGACTGTCCAACCTGCTTGTGATCAAGCTACAGTTGCCTGGAAGGGCTTCATGAACTTCAAGGAACTTTGGCCTGGCTGCGACGTGAAACTCAATAAAAGGTTGTTGCGACTTTGACAAAGAAGTGCTACAACACACAGACTACTTTAGCCTACTCGGTGTTGTCTAAGTCTTGGGTGGCTGGTATTTTTTGCGATTCCTCAAGCGTTGGCGGACGGTTGTTGGAGCGGAGGTGTGGCGTGAATTGTACTTGCCTTCGGGGCCCAGTCCACAGCACGCTGCGCGAGGTTCGATCGCCGGCTTATTGTTGCGCCGCTTACTGGGATTTCTCGACAGCGATGTGTACTGCGACGCATCCTCTTTCGATTATGGCCATGGAGAGGTGCCTGTGTTGAATTGGCTATGCGGATATGAGGTCGCGTGGAACAAGTGTCGGCTGTGCGCTTACCAAACGAAACAGCCTGCGGCGCAATACGCGTGCGTTGCGCAGCACTTCTCGGCATCGTCTGCTGCCTGGTGGGCGCGCTTTGTGGCAACAAGGTTGCCTTCATGATTTAGGCCCGCTGGGCAACCGTTTGAGGGTCGGGTGAGAGACGCGGAAGCATTTGGCAATTTGGCGAGACCTTTGGCAAACCATGTTCCATTTTGTGTCACTTCTTTTGGGAAGTATATAAATATATGTATTTATATATATATATATATATATATGTATACGCAGGGCGCGTGCAGGTGTGTTCGAGCAACAGTTCGGGGGAGGTTCGGTTTTGTGCTTGGCAACAGGCCAGTTGGCGATTCCTCTAAGACAGGTCATTTGCAAAACGGGCAGCGGGCGCTTCAGCCCAGCCTAAGGTGACGTGGCATGTTTGTTGCACCGGGTATAGTTCAGAAAGTTCGGACAGGGAGGTAAGATGTCGAGTCGGATCTTGATGGTTTTTGCTTGGTTGCGAATCTTCCTGCGAGAAAGTGCAGGAAGGTAGGCAAGGGACACGTAGGGTCATGACCCCTACACCCCCGGTTCTGAGAACCCGGGCCCAAGCCGCGACCCTTGGACCAAAACATAACTGCACACACGCGCGCGCACCACGCGTGCAGACTAGTCTCCCACACCACGCCGCCTCAGAGCACACATGGCCAGTTGACACATGCAAGGTCCCACAAGATGACGACGAGCCGATGCAGGGGATCATGGATTCCTTCGTAGCGCAGGCCGCTGGAATTTGGGGTGGGCAATTTCTGGTGCTTGTTTTGGTGTTTCAGTGCTTTTGGTGAAGGTTTGGGAAGTGGTTCCTTTTTTTTTGTTGCCCATTGAAAATGTCAGCTCTGAAAGGGTTCCGTTTGTCTACCAGGCGGGTTTTGAGCAATGCAATTGCTTTGACTCTGCGCAGAATCCTTGGCGTAGACCGGGTTCCTACCAGGTCGCACCATTTCGCGAAGCGAAATGCATGAGGGCCTGTCGATTTTTTGAGTTGGTACCCTTTTTGGATCTTTGAAAAGAGAAAGCAAGGGAAACATTCAATGAAACAGAGACTGGCAGAGATAGACAGACAGAGAGACAGAGAGACAGACAGTCAGCCAGTCAGCCAAGCAAACATATATTTCTGAGGTTTGCCAAAGTTCGGGGCCGCTCCAGGTTGGTTTCCACTGTCAGTTTTTCAGCCATGCCATGCAAGTCAAATGAAAAGGACCCCCTTGCAAGGCAACCTGCGGGGGGCAATTCTCTTGAATCTATGCTCAATGAAATAAACACAGGTTATTTTCAAGTTTTGGCCTTTAATTGGTCATTCAAATCGGAGGCCTTGTTTCTAAGCTATTTTCTCCTCTCCTGTTTGTTGCTTTTGCGTTTGGTTTGAGGGGGGGGCGTGCATACATTTGCCCATCGCGAGGTGTCCTTTGAGGAGGCCTGGTCTGATGAGCACGCAGGCGGGGGATCTTTGGGTGCCCATGGCCGATGGCCGGTGTCTCTCTTTTTGTTGGGAACCGCTGGTTTTAAAGGGACACCAGAAGGAGGCATTAAAACCGAACATCATCATTTTGTGAATTTTTAGGGACAATTGACGGGGGTGTAGTTTTCACCCCCGACCTCCGAATCAAACCTGGCATGTCCTAAAGATCACGTCGAATCCGACCCAGCCGAGTTGCTGACAATGTCTTTGCCCGTGGACTTGAGGAACTTCAAGCGCTTCAGGAAGCCGTCGCTTCAGCTGCGCCGTTCAGAGTTTAGCAGGAAATATCTCGTCCTTGACCATTTGGAAGCCTCTACCGTGTCGCAGCCATGTGACAAGAACGCGATTCTACTTTTCTCCACCATGCCTCATCCCAAGAGCAGCCGGCACTGGTAGCCAGGCGGCCACGTCAGAGAGATCATTAGCTGCGTACGTCGAAGACGCATGAAGACGCTCAAGGTGAACCAATCTGAACAGCACGCTTTCGAAGGGGCACAGTGAACCAAACACTTTTTGTGCTGGAAGCGTGCCTTGCGTGCTGCTTCTTCAGATGCCGTATGTTCACTTCATTCAGCCGTCGCTTGGATAAGACATTATAAGACATTTTGGAGGGTCAAGCGTGCAGACATGAGAGTATGGTGTATCCTTTCTCTTGTCTGTACCTGGACCAGCAAGCATTTGAAGGCTTGCGCTGAGATGTCGGTTGTGGAAGAGTCATGAAGTGATAGGACCAGACTGATCTCTGACCTTCCGTTGCTTTCCAACTGCTTTTCAATTGCCGAGTTCTGGTGCGTGCTGTTTAAACTCTCTGGCACTGAGGCCTCGCCTGCTTTTCAGCAAGTTTTGTCTTTCCCGCAGCCCGTTTCAAGATTGAAAGAGGCGGTCCGGCTGAGAGAACAAAACACTCAAAGGTGTAGTCTTTGGGTTGCTGACCACTTCCTGGGCAGTTTATCCAGGATCCCAACTCCCAATCCCATCTCCTAACCTTCCACAACCCCCCCCCCCTTTTTCCAAAACGAAGTCGTGGCTTTGGTGGGGCCTTCTTGGGCAACCGCGAGTGGTAGGCTGGGGGCCATCCTAGAGATGCCAGGCCTCAGCGCGCCGCAGGGCCTGGGCGGCTCGGCACCTCTGCAGCTGGCGGCAGCACCCGTGGCTTTCGGTGCCCCGGCGAGAGTTCTCCGGGTGCCATTGGCCATGAGACACCCAGACACATGGGGCCATTTTTTGGAGAACCCATTTTGAGGACCCATTGACCCCCAATTGACTCAAAACATCGGGACCCATTCTTGGAGGAGCGCAAGCCACCGAGGGGTTTGGGGAGCGGCACCTGCCGAAAGGCGAAAGGCGAAAGGCGGCAAACCGCCCGAGGTGGCGATGACACCACCTGGGAGCTCGTCAGGGGCGTGCTGCGCGGGGCGGCTTTAGAGGCACGGGAGATGGGAGATGCCAAGTGGGGCATCGGAGCGTGGTGTGTTGCTTGATTTCACAAAAGCACAATGGGCCAGGCTGAAAATCAACAATCATGACAAGCATGACTCTCGAATAAGTCTTGACCGTGGCTCACAAAGCTTTGTTGACTTGCATTCCACAAAAGGACGCGCACACACACACAAACAGGGCCAGGCTTGAACACATAGTACAAGCTCATTTCGAAGAAAGCCTTTTTGTCAAGGATGTCTCCCCCAAACAAGTGAGCAAAGTTGCTTCCCACTGGCTGCGTGCCCTCTCACTTGGTTGCCCTTAGGTTTTACATTGCTACGCTTCTTTTTAGTGAAGAAAGTTGGGTGGACTACGATCGCCGCAAAAATGATGTCCAGCAGAGGCTCCATGTCAACAGAAGATTCATTGATATGGGTTTGCCTAAATAGGGCAACCCTCAAAATGGCTGTTTGGTTTGCGGTTGGTTTCCCTGTAATCCAACCCAGAAGGTTCTCCTCGAAAAAAGACGAGCCGCACATACCCTTGGACTTCTTTCTTCCTAAGACATCGCTGCCTTCCAGCCTCCCGGCTTGAGGCCACGGATCGCCTTCACAATCAAAACCGCTTTACACCGGACAGAGGCCCAAATATCCGCCATTTGCTTCTCGAAACTGTTTTGGATTTCCCTTTGCCTGAGGGTTTTCAGAGGGGGCAAGCCCAAACAGAACCCCTTAGGACCTCTTTGCGACTTGCTTCACCCCACTTGCCTTGGCTCGGCTCGTCCGGGCGAAGCCAGGCGCTGCAGCAGCGGGGGGTGGAGGCGACGCAGGCGGCCTCAGAGCTGCTGCAGGCGCGCGCTTCGGAGCGGAAGCTGATCCGAAGGGCCAAGTGCCCTCGAGCAGCCCTCCCGCCAATGAACATGGCACCTGACAGGAGGGTCCTGGAAGACCGTGTTGCTTTTAAATGGACCCCCTGTCAGGTTCCACGTTAATTGGTGGGAGGGTTCCTGAACAGAAAGAGACAAAAAGGGAAGTTCACCAACCAGGAGCAAAAAAGGTTTGCACTAGCTCCGAATGAAGGGTAGGTCGAAAAGGGGAATTCACCAGCCAAGCAAAACAAGATGGGTTGCGATATCCCCACGTTTTGAAGGGTAGGTTGAGGGTGATGGTCGAGGGAATGTTAGTTCAAGGGAGGGCGAACTCATTCCTGATCTCTATAGACATGACGCTAGGTTTTGCGGCAAACTATAGGTAAATGAGGGAACCGCCACTACCCGGCTGGTGTCCATTTCGCGAATGCCAGAGGGATCCATTTGGCTTGGGATTGCCTGGGCTCAACGTGGCCGGCAGGTGGCTATGGTTATGCCCCCCCATGTACCTGGTAGGTTGCCAAGGTGAGTGGGACAACTCATGCCAACTTTAATTGACCCACGCACCCTTATAACACCCATTCTACCAAAGCATCCATGGTGTGTCTGGTGTCAGATGCAGCCGCATTCAAGGATAGTCAAAGCTTTGACGAGCTTTAGCTTTGGCTCTCCAGCTAATGAATCCCGAAGACTCGCTCCATTTTGATTGGCCCTAGAAATCCGCATGGAGAGCCGGGAGCAGGACGACATGATCTTTTTACGTGGACTCTGGGATTTTGGACCATCCTTCTTGTGAGAAATGGGCGTTTGGGTGGGTTCGAAGCGAAATGACCTTTAGACTCTCACTTTTTGGGTAAACATTGATCAACTCACTGTTTTCGATTTGATTCACTTTATAACATTTGTCCCCGCACATCGTCTTCTTTTTTTGGTTGCCACGGGAACGGCTCGGAGGATGGCTCGAGCCGAACCTTTGCAGTTCCGACCGCCAGGACCCGGAACTGGTGGAAGGCTTTGCAGACATTTGTGCGCGGGCCCTCAGCTCGCTCGCCCGCTCGCTCGACGCATTTCGACTCCAAACCGTGGGAGCCGGGAATTTTTGTTGCTTTCTAAACATTTTTTTTGAGGGGATGTTTGGCGGACGAACATTGTTTGGCCAAGACTGACATTTGGATGTGGGCCACGAGGTGCAAGCTTTAGTTCCCGAGATTGGCAATTAGGGCGTCGAGTGGCGGCTTGGGACAAGCTCGGTGGGGGTCCACTCGGATCTTGAAATATTTTGAGGTCCAAATGGCTATGAATTTTGGCAGGGAAACACCTTAGAAGTGTTCAGTGGACATACATCCCCACATAAATAATGTCCAAGGCCTACTGAAATTCACACCCAAGTTTTTGCAATGGAGATCCAGACCCTTTTAATAGAGGGTCAACGATGCGAGCCAGACGCCTTTGCTTTCCGGAGATCTCCCGGCTTATGTTTTGCATGGCTGCAACTTGGGGTTTGGCGGCCGAAACACTGAGACCTCATTGCAGCCTACCGCCGTAAGATCCTTCTGATCTGCATGTTTCTTGAACAAGTTGGACATGGACTCCCGCACGTGGTCTTCGACGAGATGCAATGGGCGAAGGATCGGAGACCGGTCCATGGGAAGCAGAATATCCTTCCGTGGATTGGAGGGAAGCTTTGTTCGCTCTAAAGCAACTGGCCCCGTGCCGATGTCCGGGCCCAGGAAACGCTGGCGAGCGACGTGGGCCTGTCGGCGTACGAGGTGGGCTTCTCCACGGCCCGTGATTCCATTTCCCGGTGTCCAGGTGAAGCCATGAAGGGTCTTTAGGGTTTGGATCTGCACAAGGTCTAAATGGGGTTCCTGTGCCGCAGTTTCCTGACATCCGCACAATTTATCTGTTGGCGGTCACTTTTGTTTCCTTCCTCAGGGCGGTTCCAATCGCCTGCTAGGGAGAAGCCGACCACGGAAGGTGGCAGCCGCGGACCAAAGGGACACCTAGATGTGTGGCTCAATGCTGACCAAAGGAGGCGAAATTTCTGAATCTCCGTTGGTTGCGAATATGTGTTTGGAGACCGGATCTTACCTTCTGCCCCCGCAGAAGGTCTGGTACCTCGTGATCTTTCAGGAGTAAAGGGGGCTCTAAGTTTGTTTCGATTTTATTTGGATTTGAAAGCTGGCCAGGTGGTCATGCGAGTGCTGGAGCTTCCGTCCAACTACCTGGAGCTCGCGGCCGTGCCTTGGAGTGAATCACTTTGAATGGATGGTCGGAACCTTCTGGAAGCTTGAATCCTTTGAGGCAAAACTTGAAGGGACCCAACGGTTTACGGTTCACGGTGCGTTTCATGCGAGAGAAACTTGGAAGCAAACCTGGAGGGGGTTCCCTTCTTGAGAAACACCCACTCGCCTTGGTTTAGCACTGGAGTGCAGTGAGTTCAGTCGCCTGACCTTTGCATGTTCGGGCTTAGCCCTGTGATAGCATGCTGCTTAAAAATAACGGGAACCCAAGATTAAAATGAACCCTGGTAGACAAATTGGGAAGCACCTATGAATCCACCAGGCTGATCTGTGCCCAGTAGGAATCTCTCCAGAAAAAGGTAGGCGGTTGGGGCCAAGAACCAACCACTCAGGGCATCCCTTTCCGTCAGGAAATGGACCCAGATGACTTCTTGGACGTCCTTTGTATGGCGCTGGATGCCACAGATCCCGACGCGGAGGATGAGGCAGACGAGCGCAGCGGGGGGCCCCTGATGGGTGCCATGGGTTTTGGCTAGGACAGGAAGAGAGGTGTGAATGTCAATGAGGGGACATTATTTGGGTTGGGGTTCATGTCCACCAACCAGCCAGATCAGGGCTGCAGAGCAATTGGGCTAAAGCGTTAACCGTAGGTGGTCGCTTGTCTTGACTCTTAATAAGTATCCACTTGGGCCACCATTTTGGCTCAAGTGGACCTTTTGATCTTTTGTCTTGTGATTTGAAATCTTTCTTTCCCCTACTCTCAAAGCCATGTACGCCCCCGCCTACGCTGGTGCCGCGGTAGCAGAGGCCAAGGCTAAGGCAAAGGCCTCCATGGCAAAGTACCTGGCGAGCCTCGTGAAGAGGGAGGAAGAAGGATGGACCGTTTTGGCTGCTGAGGTCCCTCAGGCACCTGACGAGCGTTTCTTCTCCAGCGCAGATGAGCTGGAGCAGGCCCCCCTTATCCCGGCCAAGCGCAAGGCAGAGGATGAGCCGATGGAAGATGCAGCCCCTGGGGTGGCGCAGGTGCCGAAGGCCCTGACACGCCCCCCAGGGGCGTTCCTGGAGCTCCTGAACCCGCCGGAGGAGGACGTGCCCATGGAGGAGCTCCTGGCGAAGGACGAGAAGGAGCTGCCGATGCCCAGGTCCCCCTCGGCTGCAGCCCGCTTGGAGGAGGCCCGCCTGGATGCCCGGGCAGACGCCAAGTGGCAGAGGCGCCGGGAGCTGATGGCGAAGGTCAAGGAGCAGGCGTCCTCGGAGGAGGATGAGAACCCCGCAGCCCCCCCGCCGGGGGGGAGCGTGTTCACCAAGGCCCTCAAGGTCTCGGAGGGCCTCTACCAGTTCAGCGACGACCAGATGGCGGGCGACTTCCCTTGCTTCGATGCGACCACGGCCACTAGGCTCCGCCGACTGCAGGCCAAGGACGTCCAGCGGCTCCTGCGAGGCTTTGAGGGCCCCCAACTCAAGCAGGGGGGCCTGGAGCGCGTTGTGGAGGCCTTCTACATCGCCAAGATGAAGTACGAGCATGAGGCCCGGCTCAGCACCCCGGGACAGCAGGTTGGCAAGCGCGCTGGCTTGGGGTACGGGGGCCTGGAGAACCGCCCCCTGGGCAAGGTGCCCACATCCTGGATCTGCCCCTGCTGCACCATGCCCTGGGTGAAGAAGGGCGCCACGAAGTGCATGGGGTGCGGCAAGAAGACGGAGCCCATTGACACGGCGACCAACTCGGCCACCCTGGAGATGGCGGGCACGCATTGGCAGTTGACGGTGGATGACCAGGGCAATGCGGTCTGGACGGCGGCCCGGTCCGCGGGTGCCGAAGGCCCTGACACCAAGCTCAGTGCCTCGGTGGACGTCAGCGAGCTGGCCACCGACCCGATGGCCTGCGAGAACCCGGACCAGGCCAGCTTCTCGGACTTCGTCCCCTCCTCGGTCCGGGCGGTGATGAGGAACTGCCCCATGGAGCTGGACAAGGAGTTTCTGACGGCCCCACCGGGGGAGAGGCCCCCATTGCCAGGCGACAAGGAAGAGGGCCAGGAATGCAGAGCCTTCCACCCGTCTGCGGTGAAGGCCTTCAAGATTCAGACCCGGCTCAACGCCACCACCATCGCCCAGAAGGAGGCCAAGAAGGCGGACCAGGTGGAAGCGGTGGAGCGCTCCGCGGCGGTCCTCCACGAACTTCAAGGGGGGGCCATTGACGGAGGAGGTGATGGAGGCCTGCTCCTGAAGAACCTGGACTTGGACCTATTCCGTGAGAAGCTGCTGGACAAGCTGGGTGCGGACTGGGGGAGACCCACACCGGAGCTCCTCCAGGCCCAGACCACTGCGGAGGAGGCGAAAGCGAAACACCAAGCCAGACAGGCGAAGGGCTCCCTCGAAACCAGAATGCTCGAGCCCATCGCGCCTCCCTTCAGTGCGTGGCCTAGTGAGGTCCGGGTCGCCATTGAGACTGGGGTCTTCGAGCCGACAACGGCATGGAGGGACTTCAGTATGGACGACCTCACATCCCTCACGGACTCCTACCTTGAGGCCAAGGCGGTCATCTCGCTGGGTAGGAATCCCTTCCCGGCGGCCCTCCTGTCAGATCTGCCGGACCTGACAGGGATCCCCATGCCAAAGGCGGGGGGCTCTGGTGCGGCGCGCCCAGGTGCCGAGGGCCCTGACAGGCCGCCCACCATCCCCCCAGCCTCGGGCTCTGGCGTGACGAGCTCAGGTGCCGAGGGCCCTGACAAGCCGTCCGCCACCCCGGTGGGCCTGGACACCAAGGACCCGGAGGTGCAGCTCTCGGTCCTGCGCTGGATGATGAGCAAACGGGTCGGAGAGGTCCGTATCTTTGCGGGCCGCTGGGTCCGACGACCGGGCCCGGTACACGTCCCGGATTGGGCGAAAAACCTCACCAAGGTGAATCCGGAGGCGTTGGAGAAGGGTACGCATCCCAGGAACCACCAGGTGGGTGGACTCCCCTGGGCCAGGTACTCCGTTGATGAGTTGAACCAGCAGGCGAAGGCGGGGGACCGACCCTACCCTGGGGACCTGCGATCCATCTTTTGGGCTGCCCCCCACGATCCGGATGAGGACTTCCACTGGATGCGCCAGATCTCGTCCTGGACACTCCCAGGCCTACTGGGGATGTTCGGGCACAGCTACACCCTGCGCCAGCTCTGGGGAGTCTGGGAGTCTCTGCCACTGCTGCAGGGCCCTAGGCAGCGGGGCCCGAAAAACAAGGCCCAGAATCAGACCCGCCTGGAGGGCTGGGAGACCCTGAAGGAGGACGCGCGGTGCTTCCTGAAGGAGGAGGGCCTTCCGTTTCCGCAGACAGGACCGGAGTGGCGATTGGTCTACCGGGCCATGGGCAAGGTCCTCGCGGCCCGGGCCTTCCTCACGGACACCCCGGAGGTGATGCAGCTCCCGGTCCAGGACGTGGCGGACTCCAAGGAGCAGATGATCCTGCGGGCGGTATGCGACGAGCGCATCTCGGTCCCGGTGGAGAGCCTCCAGCAGTTCCCAGAGGTGTACAAGGCCCTCATGGACCGCATTGGAGGCCCGGGGGCCCTGGCGGAGGTGAAGGTCAACTGGCGCTGCAACACGAAGCAGTGGTGGGTCGGCGCAGTCCCCGACTCAGTGGCCCCCTCCATCTACCGCAAGCTCGGCTACACCAACGACATGATCAAGCTGATGGGCCTGGACCCCTCCGCCCCTGGGTGCCGGACAGGTGCCGATGGCCCTGACATCCGCCCCAGGGGAGGCGAGGGCGATGAGGGGATCGTTTACCCCCCCATCACGGCGGACAACGTCCACGGCGTGGTGGGTAAGGACTACCGGAAGAAGAACTATCCGGTGGAGATGAAGCATGAAGCCTGAGCTCCGTCACCCCGTGGGAACTCATCCCGAAGACAAAAGGGGAGACCCGGGGGGGCTACATGTGCAAGTATTGTAAGGGGTACTGGCGTGCCGGGGGAGGGGGCACCCGCCTCCTCCAGATCCGGGCCGGCAAGGCCATCTTGCAGCTGGTGTTGGACGAGCCGCCGGAGGGCCTCTACAACCGCTGGGTGAAGGAGCGGCTGGAGTACTACCGCCGGGTGGAGCCCTCGGCCCCGTTGCGGGACGTCTCCATCGTGGACCAGAAGGTGCCCAGGTTCAGATTCAGCCAGACCACCCAGACAGGCCACGTCTCCAATGCCATCTGGGAGCTGATTCTGCGGAATCCGGAGGCTGCTGCGCTCAAGCGCATCGATGACATCGCGAAGGGGGCCGCGTGATGATGCGGGACAACGCCATCTTCCGGCACACCATCCAGGACCGCGGCCATCCGGAACGGATGCGCAGCGCATTTCGGGGGGGGGACAGCTGCCGAAGGCGCTGATATCCCCCCCCAGGGAACAGCGCAGGCCCAGACTTGCACCAGGCGAGGAAAATTGGCGCGGCTTGGGCTGATCCGGGGTGCGCCTTGGTTCCCCTCTCTTGTTTGGTTTTCCCTTTTCGGGGCGGCTCCCTGGGTCCCCCTTTTTCCCCCGTTTCCTCCGTTTCGGGGTTGACTTTCCGGGGTTTTGGGGGGCCCCCTGTTGTTTGGTTGGGGTTTGCACCTAGGGACTAGGCCCCCGGCTCGAGTGGATCATGATGATGTGGAGGCCCCGCCTCCCTTCCCCGTTTGGGACGACCTTCCTAGGGGCGCCAACCGCGCTCCAGTTGATTTTGCATGACCTTGGATTTGCACCAGTGCAGTCGGACGGGGAAATCCTCGTGGCGTGCTGCCTGGAATGGGTCAAAAAGGACAAGGTCGCCAACCCGGATGCGGTGGTCTTTGACCCGCGGCCGTGGACACGGATCGTGGGGCTGGCACCTGACGGCAACCACGTCCTGGTGGCCTCGGACACCTACAACTTGATCCTCGCGAGGATACTCGGCTCCCAACCACAACCGCTGGAGGAGGCGGATTTGGAGCTCGCTACTAAGACCCTGCAACAACTTCTGTTTCGTGCGGCAGGCGCCAGGCAATCGCACACCTATTCTCCACTGGAAATGGAACAGGCCATCCGGGACCGCGAAGAGTGGATCCTTTCCGGATCGATTGAGGCCCCGGATGTCCTGGCAGTGGCCAACAAGTGGCGGCATTGGAAACCAGGGAAGATCAAAACCCAATTGCCGACATCTCAGAGAGCGTTGGAACAACACTTGAGGGCCAGGTGGTTGGAACGCCTCCTGGGATACTTCATCCCCTTCCGGCACCAGATCCCCTACATGCACCAGGTGATGGGGGCCAGGGAGCTGGAGGAGTTTGGCCACCTCTTTGGTGATGCCCGGTTCCGTACCATCCGGGCACACTGCTTGGCCTATGAGGGCATGCGCAAGATCGGCTTCCAGAACCTCCCCTGGACGGCCGGCGACGTCCGGCACCTCATGAACCAGGCGGTCACGTTGGAGGTCACCCCGGCGAAGCTCCAGAAGTGGTGGGGCACTTTAAAGTGGCTCTCCATTAAACTCGGCATGCTCAACGTTGACGA